ATCATCTTCATATAGACGCAACATTTATATGTCTAACGGTCCCCTAAAAAAATCTACCGGTACAATAGCTTGAGCTTGAGCCGACCTTTGTACTTGGTCCTAAATCTAAGGCTCAGGTTGAGCACGAGAACAAGATTTGGTTTGAAACCAAAAATGAGATCATACATGAGACCTAGACTAACATCTAGTTTATGTTATAATGAAAGAGGCGACAATGAACATGTGCCATATACGAATTTCTTGGGTCATATTGAGACACCTGAGCATGAGAAGACTAGTCTGGTTCAACCTAAAACAAATGAGATTGTTAAAATACTAGAGACTAAGAGACATTTGAATAAATCGTGTGTTTTGAAAAGCACTACGGAAACATTATTATATATAGATAGATTACAACTAATTACATGATATAGTCAATGTGGGACTATTCTATATACAAATATTCTTAACACTATATATTTACAAATATCAACACTCCCCCTCAAGCTTGAGCATATAAGTAAAATGCACCAAGCTTGTTACATATATAGTTAGTTCTGGGGCTTCGTAGGGATTTTGTAAACACATCTGCCAATTGATTATTAGAGTTGACAAAGCTTGTGGCGATGTCGCCTGACTCAATCTTCTCTCTGACAAAGTGACAGTCTATCTCAATATGTTTGGCTCTTTCATGGAAGACTGGATTTGAAGCAATGTACAATGTAGCTTGATTATCACAAATAAGTGTCATTGGTCTTGCTTATTCAATTTGAAGTTCCTTGAGCAACTGTTTTAACCAAATAAGTTCACATGTTGCCATTGCCATGGCCCTATACCCTGCCTCGTCGCTTGATCTTGCAACTATATTTTGTTTCTTACTTTTCCAGGATATAAGGTTTCCTCCAACAAGTACACAATATCCAGAGGTGGATCGTCTATCAATGGGTGACCCTGCCCAATCAGCATCAGAGTATCCAATTATTTGGTTGTGTCCTTTATCCTCACACACAAAACCTTTTCTTGGAGTACATTTGATGTATCTCAGAATCCGGATAACAACATCCATGTCTTCCTAACAATGGGAATTTAAGAACTGGCTTACCATACTGACTGCAAAAGAAATGCCCAGACGAGTGATTGTGAGATAATTCAACTTTCCAACCAATCTCTTATACCTTCCCGAGTCAGATAGAGGCTCCCCCTGATTGGGTAGTAGTTTAACACTTGGATCCATAGGAGTATCAGCTGGTTTAGCATTTAACAAACATATTTCGTCCAAACCTTTGTAGCCTACAAACCATATTTGACGACTCCCCTTGAGCAACAAACCTATGTGGTTTCTCCATATATACTTCTTCTTCAAGATCACCATGTAAGAATGCATTTTTGAGGTCAAGTTGATGAAGAGACCAATGTCGAATGACTGCAATGGCTAGAATAAGTCTAATAGATTCCATCTTGGCTACACGCGAAAAGGTATCACTATAATCCAACCCAAAAATCTGAGTACATCCTTTGGCTACCAAGCGAGCTTTAAAACGATCAATCTTACCATCTGGACCAACCTTCACTGTATAAAGCCAACGACAACCTACTAAAGATTTCCCATGGGGTAGAGGAACCAGTTCCCAGGTACCACTGCTTTGAAGAGCACATATTTCATCAATCATTGCTTGCCTCCACTCAGGGTAAGGTAATGTTTCACCTGGAGTTTTAGGAATAGAAACAAAAGACAAAGAAGACAAACAATTATACTACAAAGGGGAAAGACAATGATAACATAAATCAATATAATGTGGAGAAGGATTTTGTGTTTGACGTATACCTTTTCAAAGGGCAATCGGAAGATCTGACTCAGGTTGGAGGATCGGATCCAGGGATGACGAGAGCGTCGAAGGAGAATCCGTAGTGACCTTAGGGATAGGTACGACTTCAGGGACAAGTATGACATACTTTGGGTGACGACAATGATATGTTTGAAGTGGGCAAGGAGTTGGGGGGTCAACCGTATGGGTATCTAGTGGGTCAGGTTCCCTAGAATGATGGGGGATAATGACAGATGGGCTTTCAGAAGAGGTGTGGGAATACGACTTCAGGGACATATACGACTTCAGGGACAAGTATGACATACTTTGGGTGACGACAATGATATGTTTGAAGTGGGCGAGGAGTTGGGGGGGTCAACCGTAGGGGTATCTAGTGGGTTAGGTTCCCTAGAATGATAGGGGATATTGAAAGATGGGCTTTCGGAAGAGGTGTGGGAATACTTTCCTGTAGAGGTTTCGCAGTTACTTGGTTGGACTCAAAATATGGAACAGACTCGAAGAAGGTAACATCGGCCGATACGAGGTATCGTTGTATGTGAGTAGCAATGATAACCCTTTTGAGATCGTTGATATCCAAGAAAGACACATTTTAGTGATCGAGATGATATTTTATTAAGGCTAGGGGAGAGATGGTGTACAAAACACGTAGACCCAAAGACTCGAGAAGGAATTGGGTGGAGTGGAGAGTTTGGAAACAGGACTGAATGATGGATTGTATTATTAAGGACATATGGGGGCATGCGATTTATGAGGTAACATGTCGTGAGCACCGCATCTCCCCAAAACTGGAGAGGAACATTACCATGGAGAAGTAGGGTCCGAGTGGTTTCTACGAGGTGCCGATTTTTGCGTTCGGCTACCCCATTTTGTTGGGGTGTATGAGGGCAAGATGTTTGGTGCAAAATACCATTGGATGACATAAATGTTTAAAATTGTTGGGATAAATATTCACGTGTATTTCCACTTCTTAATATACGAATAGACAAACCAAATTGGGTTTTTATTTCTCGATAAAATTGTTCAAAAATGGAAAATAATTCAGATATATTTTTCATTAAAAATAGCCACGTGCAACGTAAAAAATCACCAATAAAGGTGACAAAATACATAGACTCAAGAGTAGAGACAGTATTCGAGGGACCCCAAACATCGGTGTGAACTAAAGCAAAAAGGGACAAAGCTCATTTGTTAACTTGATTAGGAAATTGACTACGAATGTGTTTCCCTAACTGATACGAATCACAATGTAAATTAGATACCTTTGATAAATTTGACACCAACTTATTTAATTTGGAAAGTCTAGGATGACCTAACTGAGCATGGATAGTGAGTGGAGAATCTTTGGCTGAGCATGTCTGAGATGACAATGAGAGGTAGTAAAGGCCTTGAGACTCATATCCGACGCCAATCATATTTCCGGAACTCCGATCCTGCAGCGTAACATTATTGTTAGTGAAGGTGATACCACAATCAAGAGAACAAGTTAAACGATTGACTGAAAGTAAATTAAATGGACAATTAGGTACATAGAGGATAGAAGTAATAGATAGAGAAGGTAGAATTTGAACAGTACCAATCCCTTCGGATCAGATTTGAGAATCACTGGCAGAAGTTATAGTAGGTAAGAAACCAGAGGTAGAGAGGGAAGAGAACAATTTTTTATTACCAGTAACATGATCAGACGCACCAGAATCAAGGATCCAAGGTCGAAGAGGAGATGATTGAGAGAGGCAAACAGATAAATTACCAGTGTGTGCTACCGTAGCAGTAGAATCTGAATTCTGATACCACCTGAGGAAATCATCGTAGTTTGGCGTAAAGTTTTGAGGAGTAGCCATGAGTATCTGAAAAGAGAAAATATCACGCGATCGGTCGCCGAACGTGCTGTCACGTGCGGTTCAGGTGGTGGCGCTTGATGCCCACGCGCGGAGACGAAGGTGGCGCGTGTGGAGGTTTCTGTCGATGAAAAAGTTTGTCTGAAGGTCGCCGAGAATAGTAGCGACGACGACGACTATGCGGTTATGACCGAAGAATGTTGAAAACTGATGGTGGAGTTGGCTTTCCGAAACTCCTCCGAAAGTTTTGCCGAAACAGTAACGGCGACAGGGGCGGCAGGGTGGTCACCGAAGAATTTTGAAAAGTGGGAGGCAAACTAGAGTGACAACACGGTTTGCAAAAAAAATAATAAACTTCTCACCAGATGCAAACAATAAATTTCTCACCGGAAGACAGTGGGTCAACCGGGTAAAGCACGACGAAGAAAGAATTGCCTCTTAGCAGACTCTAGATACCATGTTAAAATACAAGAGACTAAGAGACATTTGAATAAACCATGTGTTTTAAAAAGCACTACGAAGACATTATTATATATAAATAGATTACAACTAATTACATGATATAGTCGATGTGAGACTATTCTATATACAAATATTCTTAACATTATATATATTTACAAATATCAACTGAGACATCTCTATGCTAATAATGACATGATGAACAATCCTTCTACATCGTAGACGTTCCTGATGGTAAAAAAGATACTTATAAAAATTATCAAATTAATGATATAAAATTAAATTTATAATATTTCGCACGAGTCAACTCCTTATCAACTAAACCTTAATAATATAAGATGTAGAATCGTCCATTTCCTAATCCAAGGATACATTTGTCAATTTGCAGAATTCATTGTTATTTTTCACTTATACTCATAATTTAGAGGAATAATTAGCATCTTCACTCAATAAATAAATATAAATCATGACTTGTTGATTTGATCAAAATGATTACGATGGTGATGACTATGATCAATATTTGAGCCGTAAGAGATAGGCATGTAATAAAAAAAATGCTTAGGTTGAATATTTCAAGCTTTCCAAATTTGCAACCTTGGAAGCAGCTTTGTTAGCAAATTAAGATAACAAAAAATAACTTTCATATAAGCTTCAAATCTTATCCAATTCAATACCAATATTTAAACCAAACCTAATACCCCCATTCACATCAAAACTAGTCACATTTCATATTTGTCATTATTTTGTTACAAAACCCAAATAATAAGACAAGCATATATCATAAGCAAAAAAACCGTGACATCTCTTTATTCAAACTTTAGCCAAAGATTAAGACAAATTCTTATCTTAAGCCTATTAATTAATGCTTAAACACACACAAAAAAATCTAACACTCTTTCACTCACATTTCACAAACATAATCAAAATCATCACTTGTTTCTATATCATTATCAAAATCATCATCTTCATCCATTTCATCAAATTCCATTTCTCCTCCAACAAATTGTCCATCAAGTTTTGGTCCTTCACCTGGCTTTCTTGCCTCTTGAATTATCGACAATATTTCCTCAATACTCTGAGATGAAGAATCATCAACACAATTCCCATCATTTTCTAACTTTTGTTTTTCATCTTTCTCAAACTCCATTGGCAATTTATTACGGAACCATGGATGCATTTTAATTTCTGGGATAGTGATCCTCTGCATCAACAGCATAATGGTTACAAAATCACATATATTTAATTAAACAACATTATTTAAGAATTAACTAATATACCTTCTCAGGATTCGCTACGAATATTTGAGATAGAAGGTTTCTACAATCTTTCGAGACGCGAACATAGTCTGGAATAGAATAATGGACTCTAAGAATTCGCTGTAACAACATTCCAAAATAACAAGTTTAGAATATTAATTGACATCGTAACTTTTTTATATATATTTTGTGCACACGAAATACGTATTTTGCTTAATCAACTAACCTCGATTGTTTTTCTGAAATTTCTTGGATCATCTGGATCTTCAAAAGGATAACCACCAACTAGCATCACATACAATGTAACCCCACAAGACCAAACATCAGCAACCTATTCATTCTCCAACACATGAATATTCGTGTGGCCAATGTTAGCTTCAATTATTATTTATAAAAAAAAACTAAAAAAATCATAAATTATTATCTAACAAGAATATAAAATTAGTAGCAAAATCACCTTTCCATCATATTCTCTTCTCGACAAAACCTCCGGTGCAATGTATGCCGGAGTTCCAACCGTTGATTTGGGTTGAGAATGTAGAACGGACGACTGAAGGAAAAAAACGGAATTAAATTATACTGACAATGTATTAAAATTAAAATTTGATAATTGAGAAACTCTTGCCTTAGAATAACCAAAGTCACATATTTTGAGTTGAGGTGAAGAGCTTCCATCTAAAAGTGTATTTTCTAGCTTAAGATCTCTATGGCAAATTTCCTTCACAATCAAAATTATAATTTTCAAACCAGTTAAAAAAATAATAATATGACTCATAAGAAAATTTTAACTTGATTCATATGTGATAAGAATAAGAATAGTACCATTGAATGACAATAGCTGACTCCAGAAATCAACTGCTGAAAGAAATATCTTGCCTATGGACAAAATAAAAGAATAAAAATGTGAAATACTGTATAACATAATTTTTTAAGAAAATAAAAGTAGAAAACATTGTTGCAAAAATGAACATTTATTATTAGAATATGATAGTTGTAGAAGTTAACATCTAATGAACAGTTTAAGAACAAAATAGCTAACAACTTGCAATTGAAAAATTCAACACTAATAATAAAATTACATAAAGTTGACACTCTAACTTTGTTTAATACAAATTGTAACGTGAATGCAATCTTTAATACTATTGTTTTTTATTGAATTACTGCTTAAGAAATTAAATAACGAATATAATGGCCTCATGGACAAGAAGCACTATAATATAGTCAACTAATCTTTCAATTATCAACAATTAAAAATGAGAAATTTAGAATCAATCTTATCTACCTCGTCTTCGTCGAATCTACCAGCACTGCATATTTTTTCAAATAACTCTCCTCCCGCAGCATACTCCATTACTATAACTAAATGAAGCGGAGTACATAAAACCTGTCATTAATCAAAGTTTTATAAGATATAAGCCAGAAAACAACATGTCAGAGTTATTTTCGTAAGTACTGCTAAACAGATTTTGTAAACTTATGTCAGTAGATAAATTCGAATAAATCAATCTAAACAGAAAACACAAAAAGTTCTTACCTCTTTAAATCTAACGATATTGGGATGCTTCAAGGACCTATGATTGATAATCTCTCTTTGGACATGTTCATCAATCTGCAAAGCCAAATAGTTACTAACAACCCAATTAACCTAAGACAATCCAAAGTACGAGGTAACATACATGGATATATATAATATAACCTTAGTCCTAAGACAACCTAAGACAAAAGACAACATGCAAAGGTTGAGAAATGAAGTGAAAAACAAAAACAAAACAACAAACCTTGAGGCCTCTCTCAATGATTTTGATAGCATATAGTTTACCACTTTGTCTCTCCCTCACAAGTTTTGCTACTCCAAAATTTCCTGATCCAATATCTTTAATAGTTTCATACCTTTCTTCCATTCTTATGACGTAAGTGTTATATTTTGAAGAATATATGAACTTGCAACTAGCAATATTGAAAATTATTCTCTGTCTATATGTGAAGCATCTTCTTCTTCTTATGACCTCAAATTTTCAATTGGGAAATAAATAAAGATGTTTGGTTTTGCTGCGGTTTATATCAACGTTGTTGTCAATTTGTTACAAGTGGAATTTAAATATGCCTTCAAAAAGAGGGCTTAAACAGAAATGGTATAAATGACACGTGGCAACAATCTAGTGGTTGAAATTCTTGCGAACTAAAAACAAGTTGGTCCTTCGTGGCGATTGATTGCTTTTATTGGAGGAACGATAATTTTATATGACCGTCCCTAACAATGTCACAAATTGATTAATTTGTCTCATACATTAATATTTGATGGAGCTGTTGTAATATATCATCTTCATAGTTAATTGATGAACGTGTCCAAATTCAGAATCTAAGTTGTTTAATGCGATGCAAATCATGTTTTGATTTTTTTATAAGTGAAAATTGTTCTCGTGGAATGTAAATAAAGAATTTTAGGTATTTTGATTTGCTAAAAAAATTGACATATTGAGAAAATTTGTTAAAAAAAAAAAATTACAATCACAATACAAATATAACGTAAAAACTCTAAAATTAAAGAGAAAAATTACAATAACAGTCAAATGGTAAACAAAAAGCTACACAGTTCTTAGTAGTCAAGAGCGTGTTATTTGATTTTAGGAAACAAATGTTTAGGTTGCATTCTAACGGTTAAACGTTAGCTTGCATGCTCGCGGTGGTGAGTTAAGCGCTAGTTTATATACGCATTAAAAAGGACTAAACAATATCCGTTTGTGAAAAGGTTTTCGATCGCACGGGGGCGAAAAAAGATAGGTTTGATTGGTTGGTTTGTATTAATGAGCAAGTTCTTAGATCACACTCTAACGGTTAAATGTGGGATTGCATGCTCGTGGTAGAGACTTAAGCGCTAGTTTATATACACATTAGAAAGGATTAAAAAATATTTTTGTGGAAAAAAATCGATCGCACAGGGGCGAGAAAAGAGGTTTGATGTGTTGAGTATTTTTTAGGTAAATGACGAATGCTTAATGAGAACGACACATGAGCCTCGGGGCCAATTAATTGGGGTATTACTAGAATGCTTAACATCAACGATACCTTTTTCATTCGAAGTATTATGAAATTTGTTTGATCGACAATGAACATTCAACAAGAACGAGACTTATGTCTCAGAGTTGATTGTTCAAAGGTTCTACCAGAGTGCTAGAATCCAACGGTCCTTCTTTTTGTCCAAGTTTAGATTAAGTATTTTATAAACAAAATGATGAACAAAATACTCTCCCAAAACGTGTGCCTCGGAACCGGTCAATCGAGGATTCAGTAAATACGAGACTCCAAGGGTCCTTTTTCTTTCGAGTTTGTTTAGGAACCAATTTTAACATTACGGTTAATCGGGAAAAAGTTTGAATCGCATGGATAATAATTTAATCGAGTTTGAAATGAATCATTTGATATTGGACCAAGGTTTTGCTCATTGAAAAATGTTCATTTTTGAGTTATTTTATCATTTAATTATTTAATTACCAAGATGATCAAAACGTATAATTAAGTCATGAGTAAAATGTGAAGTTAACCATAATGTGCTCAAATACAGTTTGTGCGTAATGACAATATGAGTAATGTCATATACAAGGTCATAATGTGACGAAAATACCATATCAACGTATCAAAATTTTGACGGCATAACGACATAAAAATGTCAAATTCGTTGATCAAAGTCCAATTCACACAACACAATGCACTGAAGTAGAACAACAACTAACAGCAACACAAAATCATGTTTACAATATTTACATGGAAAATAACTATTTAAAAATGATACATCAATTCATAAACACAAAATTTATCAAATAAATCAAACAAACAAAATTAAAACCATATTATAATTGAAACAAAATTAAAATAAAAGGATTAAAGTGGAACTATTAACTATAGTAATAAAAAACAAAAATAAAATAGAAAAATAAAAATAAGAAAAATAAATTGGAGAAAACAAGTTTACAGTTCGTTCTTGGAGTTTGTCACACTCAAAATTAACTTTCAATTCCATGTCATCCCTTAAATTGTTTAAGCAGTGACTGTTATGGTGGTTATAGGCGGAGCTTTGAGTCCGGCATGGTGGTGATTCTTCATGGTGATGGAGTTTTTTTAGTGATGTTGGATCGTGTATGTGGGAGATGAGTTAAAAACGGCGTTTGATTCAGAGACGGTGGAAGGGTGTAGACCAGAGGGGTTATGGTTGTTTTCGGTTTGATGATGGTGGCTAGATTTAGCAGAGATGTTATGAGACGCAAGGTTTTGGTTTATTTTTGGATGGTGAGGAGTTTTATTGAGAAGGGTTTGAAGGTTGTTAAGAGGCGAAGAGAAACTCGGTTGAAGGAAGAACATGAATGTGGGTTGTTGTTTAGGTGGTGCTAGAATGTTAAATGGTGGGGAGAGGTTATTGAAAAAGGGTGGTGTCGCACCTCGAAAAATCATTCGAACATACGACCCTCGCGATAAAGGCGCGAAAATGCAGTTCGACAGAGTCGCCGCCGAACTTTATTTATCCCGAATAGATGGGAAAGGAAAATATCGAGAAAACCTTTTAAAACGAAAGGATAGGAACACAGTCATTGCAACCAATGTTCTGGGTTCAGAAGTCAGTTACGCAAGGGAAAGGTATCAACACCCCTCACTTCCGTTGAACTTAACGGGAACCTCTTAGTATGATTTGCGATGGGCGTTATCTAAGCTTGTTGTTTTTCTTCTCAATGGTAAATGCGAAACGATAAGATAAAAGAAAACGGGGGTACGGGGAAAATGTGTGGTTTTAGGATAGGATGCTCGCCAAGTATTGGGGCCCTTGTACCTACATATACTCATTCGGACGAGAATGAGGAATCAGAGCTCTCATAGTTCGACTACGAGAAAGGATATGGGGAACATGTAAGATGGATAGAAGGTAACGGAATGGCGAAGAAAAATGGAAGTGATCTCGCCAAGATCATCGCAATCTTGTGCCTAAGTAACTTACATTCAGACAAGAATGAAGAATCAGAACGTCCATATTTCGTGCCTAAGTATCTTACGTCCGTAGTATCTTACATCGCAATCTGTTTAGCTGCTCCCATGTCTTTCTTGGAAAATGACTTTCCCTATTGCTTCTTTAACATGTTAATGTTAGAAATACTTTTCTCTACAATAAGCATATCATCAACATATAACAACATGATTATGAAGTCATCGTTAGAAAATTTCCTAACAAAGACGCAATGATTTGAATTAGTCTTTTGGTATGCTTAATCACGCATAACAGACTCAAACTTCTTGTACCACTGACTTGGAGCTTGCTTCAACCCATATAAACTATTTCTCGATCTACACACATGATCTTCTTTACCTTTAACTTGAAAACCATCGGGTTGTTTCATGTAGATCTCTTCTTCCAAATTGCCAAGAAGGAAAGATGTTTTCACATCCATTTTCTCAACCTCTAAACAAGAGTAGTAGCCAAACTCAACACAGTTATACATGATGACATCTTTACAATAGGTGAGAAAATATCATTAAAATCAACACCCTTTATTTGAAGGAAACCTTTCACCACTAATTTGGATTTATATCTTGGAGACTTAGAGTTGCCTTCATGTTTAAATCTATAAATCCATCAGTTTTCCAAAGCCCTTTTGCCTTTAGGCAGCTTCACTAAATCATAAGTGTGACTATCATGCAATGATTTCATCTCATCGTGCATTTCATCCACCCCCTTTTGATTTTCATCACTTTCCATGGCCTTTTGAAAACACTCGGGTTCACCCTCATCAGTCAAGGTCACATACTCATCAGAATTATACCTTATAGAAGGATGTCTCTGCTTGTTAGACCTCATAGGTTGAACTTGAGATGATTCTGGAGTTTCACTAAGATTCTCATCCTGTGACAAATCGCTCTCCCCTTCACCATCATTAGTTGGAATAGTTACCTCATTTCTAAGTTATTGATCATCAAAATAATCATATGGCTCACCATCATGATCATCACCACCAATAACATCTAAATTATGACTAGGTAACTGAATTGGATCAACATTAGACAGACTGGTATCTTTCTTAGGTGTAACCTTCTCTACCTTATCTTCAACTGTCTAGTCTTCCATAAACACTACATCGCGACTTTGAATAAGCTTCTTCCCTACGGGATCATACAACCTGTAGCCAAACTCATCTTGCCCATAGCCGATGAAAATACATTGTTTTGACTTCGCATCCAACTTGGATCTTTCATCCTTTGGAATATGCACAAAAGCCTTACAACCAAAGACTCTCAAATGATCATACTTGAAATTCTTTCCAAACCAAATTTTGTCTGAAACTTCATTGTTCAAAGCAACAGTAGGAGTGAGATTAAGAACATGCACTGCCGTATAAAGTGCCTCGCCCCAATAATGATTGGGCAACTTAGCTTCAGAAAGCATACACTTTACTCTCTCTCAATTAGTTTTCGACTTATCCTCTCTGCTAAACCATTCAATTGAGGAGTTTTAGAAGGAGCTTTTTCATGTACAATGTCATGCTATATGCAATAGGAATAAAATGGTCCACAATACTCTCCACCATTGTATGAACGAACACATATCAATTTCTTGCATGTCTGCCTCTCAACCAAAACATGAAATTCTTTGAGCTTTTCCAAAACTTGGTATTTTGTCTTTAAGGAATAAACCCATAGTTTCCTGGAGAAATCATCAATAAAGGTAACAAAATAAAGTGCACCACTAAAGGATTTTACCTTTAATGGACCATAAACATTAGAATGTACCAATTGAAGCAACTTTGACTTCCTTGAGGGAGGATGTCTCTTGAAAGATACTTCAATCTGTTTACCAACCATGCAATGAACACTTCTCCAAATCTACATTCTTTAATCTAGGAAGAACATCTTTTTTGGCCAA